ACAAAGAACTAATCAGAGATAAAAATCTATTTCTCTTGCTAGTTTTTTCATTTTCTAGAAAATTAAACTACATATGTACAGAATCAAGAATTCCTTAAAAGAAAGGAAAGGCACTGTGAGGGTTGGGGTTTTTTTGTTTTGAAAAATCAGGAAATTCTTAAATGACAAGTATCACTATAACAACAACAAAAAAAGGAAAAAAAAAGTATCTTGTTATCTTCAGAAGTCAGATACAGAACTGGGTCTCTAAAATTGAGGAACTTGTTGTTCCTAAAACAATCCCTCCACACCATCATTCAAGCAGAACATGGAATTCCTGTATGTTTTTCCAGTATGTACCAAAAGTTGTACTCAAATCTCCAGGGTTGTCCGCCCTGGACTTGAAGTGTTTTTACCAAACTTAGGAGAAAGCAAAAGAGCCAAGCGAGTCAGAATGTCTGTCAGTCAGTGTGTTGTAAAACTGAGGGGTTTTTACCACTGTTGCCTACTAATAATTTGGGACATCTGTTTGGTAAACAGGACCCAAAGTAGTCCCATATAAAGGCCTCAACTCAGTGTAATATTTAATTGAGTAATCCAGGCAGAAGCAGAAGGGCCATTGCTGTGCTTTAATCTCCCTGGCTGCGAGTACCTTGCTGAATCAAGGCCAACACAGTGATGTGAATTTACATGGGATGTTGTTGTGAAGCCTGTACAGGTTATGTCAATTGTGCTATGGCCAAGCATTTCCAGTCTTCATTTTCTGTAAAGTCTATGGCTTCCCTTTGCCACAGGCTGGCAAGGCACATTGTGCCTATAATATCGTCTTCTGATTTGTCAGCTGTGCATTGATTAAGATACAGATGAGCCATATGCTAGTGAACTAAGCTGTTAAATGGATTTTTGGGGAAGTTCAGCTGCGAGGAAGTGCCAGCTCAGATTTTCCTTTGAACTGCATTAGCCATAAATATGGATTATTCCTGTAGGTCCTGTATATGGAGAATTCGATCTGTTTTAAAGGTCCAGCAGCAAAATACGAACATCATTATTTCCCAGCCAGATAAATGAGTCACTTTAGTAGAGACATTTTGATCATGTGACTTAGTCAAAGTGCAGAAAAAATGAAATATTTCCATCCCTGTCTGCTTGAAACTTTTACCATTATATAAATATATGCATACACGTATGTTTACATAATATACACATACAAAACATTGCAAATTTTGACAGCTTCACTAGGTCATTTTGTTTGAACAGCAAAGCAGCAAACAGGTTCCTAAACAAAAGGATAATCCAATTTCATTGCTAAAATCTAAAGTGAATTTAGTGTTTCCTACTATTTAGGAATAACTGCTATCTGAAAATATTAATTTATGAATATTATTGAGCAGGTGACCACTCAGTGTTTAATAGGAACTAGCAATTAGTGTATGTAAATCAACTAAGGCAGCAGTTTCTCAATTGCTGTTCTGCATAGAGGAATAGTTAATTTGTAGGAATACGTTTCCAGCCCAGATTTGAAAAAGTCACGTTTTCCACTGCTGAAAACCTCAATACCTATAATATTTGTTGTGCATTTTACGATTATTCTTAATGCCCTTGCAAACATGTGTAATAAAATGCTAACAAACCATCATCCATTAATTAATTATGTTTATCTAGACGGATAAAGTTGGGGTGGGGGAGCCTGTGGTAAAAAATGTTGTTTCCCATTTGGCAAACACAGACTAAACTTACAGCTTAATTATTCCTTGTAGTGCTGTAGAGAGATTTTCCTGTTAATCATACTCAGGTCCAGAGTTGATTTAAAAAAAACAGCTGTGGATTTTTTAAATTTTTTTTTTAAAAGTATGTTGACTCCCAATTAAATCATCTTCTCCTCCAGTAGGGGATTTAAATGTATGTGAGACTTCATTGGGAACTACACAGGGAGCTTTTCTGACAGTGATGAAACACCTTCTATAAGGCAAGAAAAATATCTCGGAAAATAATGTTATAGTTGCCTTCAGAAACTTTGCCTATGGAAAATATCAGAATAATTAATCTTAATTAATAAAAATACCTCTATGTTTCAGCAACCAAGCGCAAGAAAAATAGAGGTCAGTTCCAGAAACCTTTATGCATGAGAGCATCCCACTAAATTCCAGATCACTTGTGTGCACAATGATGCCCATGTGATTAAAGACTGCAGTTTATCTCTAGATGTGTTTTTCAATGCTCCATGAGATCTTTTTAATTTGAAATCTTTAAATAGTGTTTTTTCAAAGCCAAAAAAGAAAAACAGCTGGAAAAGTTTTTGTTTTCTTAATGCCTTAAAAGCATTGCTAAAAGATAGCCAACTTTCAGCAAGACAAAAATATCAAAGTCCTTACTGATCATATGTTCCCTTCAGACGAAAGCCTTTCCAGACACTGATCAAATATTAAACAGAAGAACAGTCAGAACTGGCCGATAGTAAAATCTGTAATAGAAAATTCAGAGACCTATAACTTAATGCTTTTTAAACCTGACCAGGAGGGGAAGGGGAGTTAAAAAATAGCAGTTCCTGACAAACTGTTCAAAAACAGTTTAAAATGTTCCTCCTTCTCCAAAGGAAGGAACTTATATATTAAATGAGGAAAATACAAACCTTTGATATGTTAATTTGAAAAGCTGAATCTTTGTTCCCCAAGTTAAGTAGGTGGGCAGACATAGCCAACCTTATTTAAGTCATAAGAATGATAATTAGGGTCGCTCTTCAGGAAAGCTCTTAATCACATGCTTTACAGAAGTCGATAGCTTGAAATACCTAAGTGCTTTCCTGAAACGGGCCTTACTAGGTGAAAGTTGACATATGATGATCATATGGAAAGTATCTGAATAATTTCATGCCTATTTATAGTCCAGACAAACACAAACTTTCATTTCTTACTCAGTTTTCACATGTAAAGGATTTCATTTAACTATGGGGTTCCTGGTAATAGTTGGAATTTTTCAGCTGATGACATTTGCATCAAAAAGATTATGAAACATCATTCACTACATGTGACGTCTTAGAAAACCTGCTTAAAAAGTGCTATACAAGCCCAGAATATTAGAGCATCTTCTCTCAATGAAAATTAGCTATTGGGAATGAAATTAAAAATCCTCTTGTAGCAAATATAGACTAGTTAATACCATCTAAGATAAAAAAAAGCTTCTGCAACATTTCAGAGTCTCATAAAAATTCTCCTGGCAGATTTCAAAGGTAAAATCTGTTATGTTTTGTCATGGTTTAACCTCAGTTGGCAACTGAGCACCACACAGCTGCTTGCTCACCCCCCCGCCCCCGGTGGGATGGGGGAGAGAATTGGAAGAGTAAAAGTGAGAAAACTCATAGATTGAGATAAGAACAGTTTAATAATGGAAATAAAGTAAAATAATGATGATGATGATAATAAATAATAGAAGAATATACAAAGCAAATGATGCACGATGCAATTGCTCACCACCCGCCAACCGATGCCCAGCCAGTCCCCGAGCAGCGGTCCCCCCGGCCAGGTCCCTCCAGCTTATATACTGACCATGACATCACATGGTATGGAATATCCCTTTAGCCAGTTTGGGTCAGCTGTCCTGGCTGTACTGCCTCCCAGTTTCTTGCACACCTCCTCGCTGGCAGAGCGTGGGAAGCTGAAAAGGCCTTGACTTAGTACAAACACTGCTTAGCAACAACTAAAACATCAGTGTGTTATCGCATTACTCTCATGCTAAATCCAAAACACAGCACTGTACCAGCTACTAGGAGGAAAATTAACTCTATCCCAGCCGAAACCAGGACAGTTTATATTGATGATATAATAATTTTCTCTTAGGACCTGGATCAGCATTTAACAAATACAACAGCTGTACTGTGAATATTACAGTCTCTGAGCTTATCTCTAAATCTTAAAAATGAAAATGCTATAGCATATAGATTAAATAATCTGTAGCATATTTTGTCAAAAACCAATTGGCTGTAGACCAGGTAAGTTGTTTTTGTTTGCATGTTTTCCATGCCCTGAAATATGAAGCAAATCCAGCTGTCTTGGTTTTACAAATTGGTATCATCTATATACTGTAGTTGTCTACCTTTAAAGAGCCTCTTAATAATGTTATGGGGCAGGGAGAGAAAAAACATCAGATAGACAGATGAGCATAGAACATTTCTAAAAACTCTTTAACTGTCCAATTAATAATCTTGTGAATAAGGCCTGCTTGTTAAGTGCCTACTTGTATAAATGCTACCTAAAGGCACATTTATCAGACTTGCGAGAATTTTGTTTCGATACCCTGACATCTATGAGAAAACATTTGTTCCCCATCTGTTCCCCATACTGATCTCATAACACTACAGAATACAGTAACACCATAAATAAAAGCCATCAAGAAATTTCTGAAATAAAAGGTGGTCACGCATTTTATAGAATCAAACCACTGTGTATAAATTATTTTAATCACTGGTAAATAAAAACCCAAGCAAACAAAGGTATTTCCTTTAATAAAAATATCAGAGCCCATAATTATACAATTAATTTGGGGTTTCCAAAACTGTTCAGTGTTAGCCTGACTTCTCTCCTACTGAAGTCAATAACTGGCTCAAGTGAGAGAAAGGTGCTAGGCTAGGTGCTAGTATGGAGTTTGGACCAGTCTGTCAAAAGTTTTTAGAAGGGGCGTTATTCCATTAGAAAATGTCAGCGTAGTGAATCCGCAGTGTTACATGCAGGCCAGCTCGAGTTCTCAGAGTGCAACTACAAACCCCAAATCCTCCAACGGGCTATTTCAAATGCCAGTGGTCCAGACGCAGATGCTAGGTGCAGCCAGGAAGTAAGGATACTAGATGACAGTTCATGACCAGTGAGTCCACAGAATTTAAAAGTATGAAGCACGTTTAAAAATATTCTCCAACAGTTCAGTTTGTTCTCAATGGAGATTTAAAAGAAGGACACCAGCCAGGAGTAGTAGATCCATAACATCCATAATATTATCTGCAGCCACATGATGGTCTCTCTTCTGACCCGCAGGTCAAGACTGGTATGAAGCTTCTATTCAGGTAGGGATGCTCACAAGAATCCAAGCTACCAAGGAAGGTAAATGTTTGATGTTCTGGATCTGATGGTGGAGTGCATGTTTTTATTATGGTTTAGGATAAGACTATCTTAGGATAAGACCCAGAGGTTCATCAAGTGCTCTAGGTATCATTACGTTTATCAGGTAACTCTACCTGAATAAATCTCCCATACTCCAGGATTGTCTTCCTATAAGGAATTTTGGTGAGATGGCTAAAGCTGGATTCATTTGTTGTATTGTATGAGTCTTCTGTAGGAATTTATTGTGTGAGTGCCTTTCAGCAAATACGAAAATATGATTTGTACTCAGTTCCTGAAGAAATTCAGGATTCCTGAAGAAATTTCTTCAGGAACTGAAGTCCTTTGCACTCAAAGGTACAATTTTGCTATTTTAAGGGGCTGTGTGGGAAGAGAGAGCGCTTCTGTGAAAAGTGGCAGGGAATAAGGACCCTCCCATCCTCCTTTACTCCCTGTTTTATCTGGTTAAGATAACAGATGATGAAAGCAGATTAAAAAAAACCAAAAAAAAAAAAAACCCCAAAAAACAAACCACACCACAATCCCAGGGTGGTGCCAGGAATGGAAACTGTTAGCAGCAGCAGCATGGGCCACTGCTTCTCCTCCTTTCTCCCACCAGCAGCCAGTCAGATAACAGATTCATGACGTGTTTGAAACATGTTACAGAAACAACAAATCCAGCTCCAGCCATCATAGGAAATAAAATCAAAAGAACATTTTCTTTCCTAACCACTGTCCCTACTGGAATCCCGCTGAGAAAAAGGCAGGCTAAGGTCCTCCCTGAGCTGGCAACCACGGTGCCAAGGAACTAATGATTCCTGGAATCTATTAATAACTGCCCTTCCATGCCCAGACCAAGGTTAGGTGATAAATTCTGCAGAATTAGAATGAGGAAGCAGAAATAAAACTGAGCAGTGGATGTAGGAGCTTCCAAATTTTGTCCTTGGTAAGATTTGAAATTAGGAATGAATGGAGAGACACAGGTATCAAGACCACTTTCAGTGTGGCTGTTTTTAAACATACACAATATGAGATTCAGGAACTACAGTATGTTTCAGGGGGTAGCTGGAGTCAGACTAAGTCAAATTAGTTAATCTGTTCAATTTGTATGCTAATACAAATACAACACATCAGGAATACCTGTTTCATAGCCATATTGCCAGTTATCAAAAGAACTAATTTGTAAATAAAACAGAGGACATAACAAGCAAAACATTATATACCAACTTGAAACACATTTTTAATAAAAATTTCATTACGGAAGAAATAAGTCTCTTCATACTCAGAATTCTGAATGAATTTTTGCTCCTCTTCCATAAAGCTCAGGATTTCCAATGAGGAAGAAATTGCAAAACTGCTATGTGGTATGTTGTGGTTTAACCCAGCAGGCAGCTAAACACCACACAGCCGTTCGCTCACTTCGCCTGCTCCCCAGTGGGATGGGGGAGAGAATCGGGGCAAGGGGGGAGGTAAAATTTGTGGGTTGAGATAAAGACAGTTTAATAGGACAGAAAAGGAAGGGAAAATAATAATAATAATGATAAAAGAATATACAAAGCAAGTGATGCACGATGCAATTTCTCACCACCCACCAACCGATGCCCAGCCAGTCCCCGAGCAGTGGCCCCCCCGGCCAGCTTCCCCCAGTTTATGTACTGAGCACGACGTCCCATGGTATGGAATGTCCCTTTGGCCAGTCGGGGTCAGCTGTCCTGGCCGTGCCCCCTCCCAGCTTCTTGTGCACCTCCGGCCTTCTCAGTCGGTAGAGCATGGGAAGCTGGAAAGTCCTTGACTAGTGTAAGCATAAATGTAATCCCAAATCCAAAACACAGCACTGTACCAGCTACTAGGAAGAAAATTAACTCTATCCCAGCCGAAACCAGAACATGGTACTAATATGAACGCTTGGGAAGAAATGGCATCTCTCCTTTACCAGTTGAGAGAACCATGATGTAGCATGGATTAAAGCTTAGTGTCCATTTACTGTATCTACAAATTAGAGCACAAATAAAAATCTATCTTTGTACATCCAATAAAGAATATTACCTTTCAAGCATAATTAATAAAATGGGAAACTTCTTTCTTAAAGATAGAGGCAATGAACAACCTTTTTTCATCTTTCCATAGTGCTGCATGTGATAAAATACAAGTAGTATGTTTCATGGACCACTGGAAAGCTGTATTTTTGCCTAAGATGTAGATGTATTTCCTTTAAAAATTAATTTTAAAATCTTAATATGATCCAGAATTTTTTATAAATCATATTATTTGGTATTTGAAACTTATCATGAGACATGCAGGGAAACCTGTCTTTAGGAAGCCAACAAACTGACCACATACATTTTAAATACAACTGGATAGCTGTGATGGCTTTTATTTTAATGGCTATTTTCAAAGACGTGACAAGGTAGTAAGAAGTAATTTAAGGAGCAGCAAATGCACCAAAAATTCACAAGCTGCAGATGTTCACAAACACGTGAATAGGTTAGTGTCTCCTACAAAACCACAGAGATAATTTCCTTAAATTTTTGGTCCACTGTTTTTTCTCAGTGGAAATCAAGTGAACATTTGTCTTTCCAATGTGGGTCTTTCCAACATGCAATAATACTGCTGCTGCTGCATATTTTATAATCAAAGAACAGGATGTTTTCATTTGATTTAAATTATGAGAAAATAGTGAACATTGGGGAGTGGGTAATAACATCTATTTTAGATTTAATGGGCTGTTCCTCATATCAATTCACCTGATCTATCATAGAGCTAGATTTGTTAGTCAATTTAAGGCAGTCTGAAGCTATTAGAATAAAACGCTTCTAACTCAACCTAAATGACATAAAAGGAAGACAACAAAGAAAAGGCCAGGTAACTACTCTTCATGAAATCCTGTAGCCTGCTTTCATTTTACATAACCATTTCAGCAGAATTATAGTTACGCTTGAAGACAGACTTAGCCATGTACACGTAACTGATAACATCTTTCTATCAGGGCAGAACCACTCTTCTTCACTGGTATTGACTTCACAGGTATTATCATCTTTTTCAGTTGCAGGAGATTTGAAAGATCTGAGATCTTGGTGGTAGGAAATGTGGATAGGTTGTTAGCAGAGTTGTCTGAAGCAATTTCAAAGAATCCTGCATTGTGTTTAGAAGGCAAACAATCCAAGATATTTTTGTGCACGTAGAACCTGAAGTTCTTTCTTAATGGAGTTTTAGGCCATATTTCAGTGGACCCCACTGGAAATGCTTGTATAAGGACATGATGGAATTCAGAGTGCAATGCCTTCTACACCATCTGCTTGGGGGCTTAAAGCAGGAAGCTTTCAGGTGTTAGAATGCATGAGATGGAATGCATAAGAAAAACAGCACTATGAAAGCTGTGGAGCTTGTCTCAATCACAGAAAAAAAAATGTTCTTTTGGAAGATAATAATGTCAGGCAAAGTCTGCCAGTGAAATCGGCTGGACCATAGACCACAGGCTGAGGCTCTCAGGGAAGCAATCCAGAATTTAAGTCATAGAAAAAACAACATTTTAACACTTACTTAATTAAACAATGTTACCAGTATACGTATGCTTATAATCAGACATCCAGAAGTATTATGAAGACTAAATTCAGCATCACATATAGATTGAATTCACACCCACTTCCTAAATTTCCATCAGTCTTAAAACATACAAACAATGCTTGTGCCATGCTCTCACTGGTAATGAACTTGGGCTTACCTGGATCTCTGGAGGGGTTTGAGTTTTTTCATTGTCAAAGGACTGTTCATTGACTACAATAACTTTAAAAAAAACCCAGCAAAACAACATTAACAAAGCTTAACATTGAAAGCCTGATGTACAATCAACTTACAAAGAGTTTCTGCCTGCAATCCTGGACATTGCCTGTTGTTTTTCCACTCTTGGTCTTTATCCAGATAAATTCTCCCTGAATTCAATGGATATTTGACAATTAAAACATAAAATAAAACTCTGGGATTAAGCCATTGCTCTGGTAAATCCTACTAAATTAAACTAAACCAGTTTTGTTATTCTAGATCTGGATTAAAGGCTGCTATGGCATAGGGCAGCTTGGTGCTTTGGTTTAACGCTAGACTTACAGCCACATTTTTGCTAAATTAAACATGAACACTACATTATACACTAAGACCCAAAGCATGTTTTACTTATAGAATAAATACCACATATGGCTTTATCAAATTCTAGTCTAATTGCATTGGTGTTACATGAAATGCATGTAGGCTGTATTTCTACATTTTCTTACTCTGTGGAATGGTAATACTGGATACTAGTAAGAGCAGAGGCTGGCATAATGGGACCTTCTGCTTTTTATAATAACCCAATGTATGTTATTGAAAAAGTTAGGTGGTGCATCTTAACTCTCAAATGCTATTGAGAGACTTAGCGGAATTTAATGACTAATGTCAATCTACAGTAAGGGAAGGCATGATCCAATCTTTGCAAATAGATACAAATTCCTTAGCAGTAAGCTTAAGTGGAAACTTAAATATTATTATCAGAAAAAATATGGTAAAAAAAATATTTGTCTAAGTTTACAGTAAGATTTTAAACTAAGATTTTAATTCATAGTGCTGTAAGTCTAGAATGTTTGTTTTGGTGTGGTCTTGTCTCAGTCCTTTGCTCCTGAGACAGAGTTCACACGATCACTCACACGTGAAAGAGATGACATTTGGATTTTCCAGTGCTTGGCAGAACCTGGAATTCTGAGGTCTCCTTACCTTTGAATTTGATTCATATGTTCCTGTGAGCAAGGCGGGTGAACAGAATATAGCTCACAGTGGTGTTTATAAGCTGGAATTTTGAACTTGCCAAGGCTCTACACTAAAGACTGAATGTAATTGGTCACTTCAGGTAGTGATAAATTTAGAATCAAGACAAGAAAAAAAAAAAATCTGCATTTGAGTGATTTGCACAAAACCTAACAGAAAAAAATGCCCTATCACTGTCAAAGGAATGAATATTCTATCAAAACTGCAGTCAC